CTAACAACTTTTGTAATTTCTCTTCTCGTTCTTCCTGTTTCTTTTCTTGTTTATTTTCTGGTTCTTCTTGTTTCTTTTCTTTTTCCTGTAACAACTGTTGTATTTTCTCTTCTCGTTCTTCTTGTTTCTTTTCTTTTTCCTCTAACAACTGTTGTAATTTCTCATCTTGTTTCTGTATTGCTGCCATCAAATCTGCTAAGCTGTAGTTTGATTTTCCGCCTCTCGTTTCCATTTTTCTTCTTTTTTTTTCTATCCCATTCTCTGACACCAATTTGTTACGTCTCCGTTTGTTAATTAATTTTCCGTAACTTCGTTCCGACGAAACTTAATCGACACAAGTCCTTTCTTAATAAAACTGGTTTATTCTTTCCGAATATAACTTTACCGATACACTCAACTTCAACAATCACGCTAAACAAACGCTGTAACGTCTCTCGTGCTCTCTGAGTGCAGTTCAATTACTCACTGTCTATACACACATTACCGCGTCACGTTGTCCCCCTCTTTTATATACCCGACCACCCCATATCCAGTAAATACTAGAGCATTCGCCAAAGTACAGGATAGTTCTAGAAACGTGGCGTCACAGTAGTCATGTGACTCGCTGATGCAACAACAGTTTTTTTTAAAGTTTCTGAAGTACATACACACACATATATATGTATATATAGGTTAGCTTCTGTTAATCCCTTACCAACTGAGCCAGAGTAATCCACTAGCCATAAGTGGGATTTGCAACCAAAATGGGGGAGAAGCCAAATAAAGTCTGCCTTAATTATTGTGAATGTGTGGGGGAAAAGTAACTGATCCCCTCTGCCCTTCGTAAATCTGCCTACACCACTAGCATACATTTGGACAACTTGAATATAATCAGTTTAGTATTAACCTACCATAATAATCATCTGAGGCCTAATCTTATCTTATAAACAATCAAATAGTTGAAATAAAACATGTCTATCAGTTTTCACACCAAAGCCTAACTATTTACACAACTAGTTATTGATGTTTGAAAGAAACTAACTTCTATGAATGTTCTTACCTTGATATCTAAATGAAGAATGTTTCTCTCGTGCATGTGTTTCACACCATCACAGATTTGCCGCATATAGTTGATAACCTCTGCCTCAGACATTTTGTAATCCTCTACTGTTACCTTTTCAAATAATTCACCACCAGCCATACTGTGAGAAGGTAAACAAATATTATAGTATCTATCTTCCTAAGTTACATAAAGAAATGAAACTTGAATCCTTTTACTAAACAATATCAAGAGAGTTAGAAACAATTCTATAACTAAACAATATCAAGAAAGTTAGAAACAATTCTATAACTAAACAATATCAAGAAAGTTAGAAACAATTCTATAACTAAACAATATCAAGAA